AACAGTGATATAAATATCAGTGTTACTATGGAATACCAGGTCCATGAGTTTTGTCTTTGATGGTGGTGTTTTTTATTTATCGACTTCTGATTGGTTTACATGTTGACGAGTAGTAATTTTTCACTCGTCGTGGTGAGTGATCATGTTGTGATAGCTTTATACAGATGCATGTGACCCTGTATCTGGAAACATCAATTAGTAGTCAGTCAGCTAAAGTCTTTGAAATTCAAATATACTATCTCATGAACGATATGTAAGATTTTTAGTAGCTTTATGGTTTCATTCGAGTTTTATATTAAAAACAGGATTCCATTCTTTCTTGATATCTATAGTTTTTGTAGAACTTTTTGTACTCTGTCGAACTATATAAAAATGTCTATTAAGAATATGTAGAAAATAATATTTAGTTCGACTGTAACGACTGAAACATTCAAGTTTTTTTTTGTTTTTCTCAAATGTATAATGTAAATATTTTTACTCAAAATTAGTAAAATAAAAATAGGATTATAATAGATTTATTTATTTCAAACTATTTTTTCAGATGATAGCTATTATCTTCCTTTACAATTTGATCAATACATTTATATAAGTTTGTTATAGATATCATTGATTTTCTGAGAGGAATTGAAACGTTTGGACCACCCTTCAGTCATATATCAAGTTGTTTATATACGGAATCTCCGTTATTCTTTTTCTCTCATAGTTTTCTTCTTTAAAATTTTATCTGTTCATCTTTTAGAGAAGCTAAGCGCACTGTGTCATTCATGTTTTTAACTGTCTACCACTTCTTCACTTTCGTAAATTTTATTCTGCCTCGATTTTATTTGTCGCAGTGAGTGTTTTTTCTTTGCACTCTAGATAGCTCTACTTTATTTTCTCTGTTCTATATTCACTACAGTCATATCTAGTCCCACTCAGTATTGACTTGAAGATAAGCAGGCCGTTGAGAAAAATGTTGTCGTCATCATGTACAACACAAGTTCTCATTTATCTATTCTTATCACGTTGCATATTTCGTTTTCATTTTCACGTAGATGGATACTAGTTCGCCCACTACTGAAATGTCACAGGAAGCTAGCACCGTACCAGAAACTAAAAAGATGCGAGATTTGTATCCAGAAATAGAGCCATATACAACTGGCACGCTGAAAGTATCTGAAATTCATACTTTATATTACGAAGAAGTTGGAAATCCTTTGGGTAAACCAATTGTATTTGTACATGGTGGACCAGGTGGTGGTACGGATCCACGTGATCGACGGTTTTTTGATCCACAAGCATATAGAACTGTACTATACCATCAACGTGGTGCTGGTAATTCAACACCAAGTGCTTCCTTAGAAGAAAATACAACATGGGACTTAGTCGATGATTTAGAGAAATTACGTAAGCATTGTAATATTGATAAATGGATTATATTTGGTGGTAGTTGGGGATCGACATTAGCTTTATCTTATGCTGAAACACATCCTGATCGTGTTAAGGCATTAATATTACGTGGTATATTCTGTTGTCGTCGTAAAGAATTATTATGGTTTTATCAGGAAGGTGCTTCAATGATATTTCCTGATGCATGGGAGAAGTTTTTAGAACCAATACCCAAAGCTGAACAGGGTGATTTAATGTCAGCATATCATCGTCGTTTAAATAGTAAAGACGAACAAGAAATGTTAAAGGTTGCCACTGCATGGTCTGTATGGGAATTAGCAACATCACGTTTATATGTTGATCCGTCGTATATAGCTCGTGCAACAGATGATGCAAAATTCGCACTTGCTTTTGCTCGTATTGAAACGCATTATTTTGTTCATGGAGCATTTATGAAAGAAGATGGTCAATTAATAAACAATGCCGACAAAATAAAAGATATACCCGGTGTGATTGTTCAAGGTCGATATGATCTAGTTTGTCCAGCTTATACGGCTTGGGACTTACATAAAGCATGGCCAAAAGGAGAATTGCATTGGGTTGATGATGCTGGTCATTCTACTAAAGAAGTTGGAGTAGTTCATGAATTAGTTACTGCAACAGACAAATTCAGAGAATTGTAAATTCTAACACATAATTTACATTTGATTTCTACTTTTTTTGATTGACTCACTGAATAGTTTTCTTTTCTATGCTACCGATGCAATTTTTTTTAATTTTGTGCCACTATTTCAATAGAAAAATCTTGTCGCAATATAGAAAAATAGCTGATTTGAAGCTTTGTATAAAATGTGTATGACTGTTGACATGGATCGTCTCGTCACTTACTCAACACTTCTAATAGTTTCGTTGATATAATATCAGCTTCAAACTAAGAGTCAAATTGATTGAACGAATCATTAATCGTTAGCAGATATAATATGAAAACATTACATGTTATGTTTGGATCCTCTCAATATGTAGATGACCGATGGCTGACCATGTTGGGATGTTGATTTCATAAAAACAAGCAAAACTTAGCTTCAAAGTCTAATAAGATGAATCATTACAAGTTATCTCTAATCTAATCAAGATTTCTTTGTAGGTTAATATGAGTTCACCTAGTGAGTTATGCGATCTAGTAGTTTTCTCATGTAAGCTAACACAATTTCTTTCAATGGATACTAATATATATTCGTTCTTTCAGAAAGAAAAAATTCATACGAATAATGTTTATATGAGAATTACTCAAACTTATAAGTTACAATTCTATACTATAAGCAGAAACAAATATCGTTTAGACCAAAAAAATTCTAAAAGAATTATTTCTATGATCTTCTTGCAAAGAACTAAAAACGTTTTACTGTGCTTTGAAACAAATCTAGTGTTTGTTTTCTCTGAAAAGTCTAACTTGAAGAATTTCAATTTGAAATCTTACCACAAGATAGGTACAATTATTATTAGAATATCTTGAAATTTTTCATCGAAATAAATATTTCTTTTTGGTATTAGCGCAGCTTTCTCACAAGTTATATGAATTTTATTGAGATCATTTCTCTCTTTATGTAAAATTAAAAATGTTTAAATCCATCAAAAAAAAAGCCATATCAGCTCAAATTTTCTTAGAATAAGATCACTTGCATGTACACAAAGTATCAGTATAAACGACGTAAATCCGTTAAACATATTTTCTCCTTAGTTCCATATAGTTGCCGATTAAATTGAGCCAAATGAGTAGATGCCTATTATCAGCAAAAATATTTGTATCTGATCCTATATTTTGTATCTACTGATTCTTGCAAGACTTTTACTTAGGCCTTGCAATAAGAATCATTCAAAATCCTGTAAAAATACGAACAAATGAAGTTTTCTAACTGATCTACGCCGTTTTCCACTATATTTGGTTCATATGTTGAGAATAATATTCTTAAGAAAAATCTAAGATGATTTGAACTAATAGGAATTCCTTCAAAGGTTATGATTATGTTAATGCTTGGTTCGCCCAGCACAAGGTATTAATATAGTCGTAGTCTTCGGAAAATATCTCATCACTTCGAACCCTCTTTGAATTTTTCTTACAATAATGTCCCCAACATTTGGAAAAAATATCATTAGAAACAGCGCAGATCAGATGAGAATCTTTCTTCATAAGAGAGAGGTTTAGTTCTTTCTTAAAACAATAATTGATTCTTTTATTTCACGTGAAATACTCTAGCAGAGAACCCTTATCTCTCAATATACTAGCAGATATCAATGATTTAAAAAAAAAAAAAATGAGACATTATTTTCAATTTAGATTATTTTGATTTCTATTCATTGTTTTTAATACTTTTCATAAAATATATACTGTGTAATTTCATTATTAGTTAGGTTTATGGTATCATGCGAAATAACCTATTATGGTTTGCTCTTTTTTTTTTGGAATCATCATCAGATGTTTAAACATGAACAATGTTCAAATAGTTAACATCGTTCGATTTTGACAGTTATATTGATACTTCAAATAGTACCGAAGATACTAATTGATAATTTTCATTTCATAAAAAATACAGTTAATTGACAATAGATACTATATCTTCCACAATGCTACAAGAAGAATCATTTAATTGTTTCATTTGCCAGGCCATATTCTCCTAAAAAGTCTGCACAAAAAACAAATGATCCATCAATTTTTGTATTTTGTTTTTTCTAAACGTTATTATAGTGCAATCTCCTATGCAATCATTTCTTTCGGATGGAGAAAATACGCTTCACTATCTAACTGGAAATTCGACGTGTAAAATAATAGTTTAAAAGCAAATTTTACACTAAACATCAACATATCAAATACCAACAAGTTAAGAGCTATTATAAACACAAAAGAAAAACGATCAGTTAATCAACATGCATAGAATTCCTTCACTAAAAATGATTTAATTATATTCTTTGAAAATATCAAGTTTGATTATAATTAAAATATTTTATCAATCTTAATATATTTTTCTACTAAAAATCTATTCTGAAAATAAGAAGAGGAACAGCAACGACTGTCAATCATATTCGACGCACATTTTTTTCTTCGTCAACAAGCACTCGTACATAGTAGTAATTTGAATCCTCTTTGAAACCGCGATTGTTTTTTCTCACAAAGCATTTTCTGTTCTTTTCATTTGAAAAAAAAACCTATAGTAATGTTGATAAGAGTTATTGTTTTCGATGCTCCACTCTTATCATAATTGTCAAATCAAGTCAAATCAAATCAAATCAGAGTTTATTTGAAAAAACAACAGAACTTCATTTTGTACTATTACTTTACATGTAAAGAAAGAACAGTGAGAATGCGAAAGAGAAATGAAAACTTCTTTGCATACATAAACTTTTTACAGAATCGAGAAGGTTCAACTTCAATGCATTTTTTTAAATCATAGTCAGACATAAACATTATAAACAGAAAGTTGTTACGCTTATTTATAATTCATTTCTTCTTTACCTTTTCTACTGCAATGAAACCTATACAAGTTTGAATAATATTTTCTTTCTTCTTTTTCTTTTTAATTGCCATCATCATCATCATCATCATCAATTGATGGTCTAATCATCTTTTATATCAAACGATGGATTTTGAAAAGTTTCGTCGTACAGGTAAATTATCCGATATTACAGTTATAGTAGATAAAACTGAATTAAAACTTCATAAATTTCCATTATTTACAAAAAGTAATTATTTCAAAAAAGCAATTACATTAACATCAGCACCATATGTTATTCGACTTGAAAATAATTTTCCAAGTGGTGCAGAAGTTTTCAATCAACTTGCAGATTATTTCTATTCAATTCTAATAGCTATTGATCGTAAAAATATCGTACCACTTCGTTCAGCAGCATGTTTTATTGAATGGGATACATTAACTACACTACTTGATAAACATTTTGATGAAATCATTTTAGACGCACGAACAAAAATATGATTTAACTATTCCTTTATTATTACTTGAACGATGTACAGGTGAATATCAAATATGGGCTAAACAAACACATATGGTTGATAAATGTCTTGATTGTATTATTGAATTATTAAATTATTATGTCGATTTACAAATAAATAAATCTGATCGAGAAATTATTGTTCGTCTACCATTTGAATGGATTATTGAATTAATTAAATTATGTCCTACAGAAGGTAAACGATCTATGCTTTCTATTATAAAACATTATATAACAATGCATGTACTTGAACAAAATCAATTGCAACGAATTACAAATTTATTATCCCGAAAAAATGAAGGAGAATATCAAAGTGCTTTTACACCTGTTACAAAAAAATAAGATATACCAATAATAACTGTTGATGAAAAACGAATAATAATCGACGAAGTTGTTAGAACATTAGGTGATACTCTCAAACAATTCTCGCTCGTTTGGCTTAATTCAATTTATGAAAAAGCAGTAGAATTAAAATGTGAAAGTGAACCAACATTATCATCCTATATCACACAAGCAATATTCGATTCAACTGATCTAGATAATGGTATAGAAAATATTCCTGATGATGTTATGACAAGATTATTAGAACGTCTAAGCAAGCATAAAGAAGAACATATTAAAGATTCTCAACTATTAGCAAAAGTAATTCATTTTTTATTAAAAATATGAGAAATTTTCTAAATACTTTTATTTTTCTAGTTATCATCATTAATTGATTCATATGTTGAACAAAGTTTGTCAATGAGGTGCACTTACAAGTGAACAATATGTTAAATTAGCTTCTTGTATACCAAAAGAACAACGAAATTCACATGATACTCTCTTACTAGCACTTGATAATCTTCTTAAAAATGGTTGGTATGAATTTTTTTCTCCTATTCAAATAATATTGTAATGTAATATCATATAGAAAAATGAATACAATTAAGTAATGACGAACGAGAAGAATTACTTAATCAAGTTAATTTTTCCCGTATTAATGAAGAAACAATTGTAGCATGTAAAAGTAATAAACTTATTCCACAACAATTAATTACTGATGCAACATTGGCTTTATGTGTTAAATTAAGAAAACAATTGGAACAAACTCGAAATCGTTTACATTTAGTTGAAAGTGAATTAGCTAAATCTCGATTGACTTATACGAATAGTTCTAGTAAAGTTCATAATATTTTATTTTAATGGTTTCTTTTTTTCTATTCTAATTAGAATCTCGATCCCGTAATTTTGATTCATCATTTCGTCTTCCATCTCGATCTCGTACTACTTATACAAATACTTATGATTTACCCGAAAGTAATTTAACTTGTAGTTATTCAAAATATAATCATGAAGGTAATTTTGATTATGCATTACCTTCGAAATATCTTTCATCATCAAGCAGTCGATATGGTTCTTCTTATAATTATCGTTATTGAAGACAAATAAATTATTTCTTTTTCTTCGTACGTAGAATGATTAGTTAAATGAAAAGCTTGATATGTCACCAAACATTCTCTATTTTTTCTTTTATTCAATATGAATACAATTTATTTGTTTTTTGCTATTTTTTATCAGTATCAATTGATAATAGTGTATTTCCTTATGAGTTCATAATTTTTCTTCAAAATAAATTTCATAGCAAAAAAAAAAAATCGCGTAATGAGTTTTTCTATATCTATTGTTTCATGTGATTCTTCTCAGTTTAATTTATCAATGTAAACCAATATGTTCTTTTGATTACATTTTACGTCTGCATCCTAAGCAATCAACATAAAAGAGATCGAATTGTTGTGTTCCTCATTCATTTGATTACTATTCTATCAAACAACATGAGCTTATCTTCGTTTGGTATTATTTTTATTTTGTTACTTGTTTTCTCCATCGAGATTTCACAAGCACAGTTCTGGGGTACATCAACAGGTTTAATATCTAAAGTTTTTCGTTTATACAAAGAAAAAGTATAAGAAAATCAATACATTTGCTTTAGGTCGATGTTGGGGTCGCTTTGAACAATATCAGGAATGTGTTTCAACATGTCCTGATACATGTGATGATATTCGATGGCCAAATCCTTCTAAAATATGCACGTTGATATGCAGAAATGGATGTGATTGTATCCGACCTTTTGTACGCTTAAATAGAAATCCAATGAGTCCATGCGTTCATCCACGTCAATGTCGGTTTATGTAACTTGAATTTCTTCCTGATGATGAATTTATTTGAGACATGTTTTTCTATATAATAAAGAAGCATGGGACCATCTTGTGTCAAATCTGATAAATGTAAAATTTGTGTTGATTTATTTATCATGTTTATGCTTACATGAAGAAGGAACTAGAAATGTTAGAAAGAAACTCAGATTCTATTTTATATATGAATAGGTTGGTTTTTTTTATATTAGTTATTATTGATAACGATGAATATCACTACCACGTTGCCTAAAATTTCATATACGATCACATATTTTTACTTTCTTTGCTTTGCATAATTTAGGACAGATACGACGCAATCATTTATAAATGTATTGCTTGAATACCTACATATTATATCACAATATTTTACACATTCTTTTTTCTTCATTCATCATTATTGCAGTTATAGATATGCTTGAAGTTTTACATGTTATAATCATCATTGTGTTTATTGCTTTGGTTTATAAATTAATGCTATAAAATCAAAGAAAGTTTCAAATAATTTAAAAAGATTACAAAATATTTAATAGATCTTTATTCAGATTTTACTTCATAATGTGCCTTGTTATATTTCTTTTAGGTAACACAAACTTCTGATGCAGTAGGCATTTCGCAATATGTATACATTATGCGATTCGCAGCATATTCAAAAATTGAGGAAGATATTCTCAATCCACATCCGAAGAAAATATATATACTTCAATGTAGGGCAGGTTACTTTTGTCATTTAACTTTTTGTATATAAAAATATATGACCAAACAGTCTTTGTAATGTTTCAAAATAAATACTACTTGATTGCTGAATTATTAAAATATCATATATGTTTTATTCTACTTGTTTTTTTGCATCCATACTATCTGAATAAAAAAAACAAATGAGCATAAAATTTAATAGCATATAGATCATTTATTTATGTCAAAAAATAACTATAAAAGTTCTATGGTCCAGATATATATATATATATATGTCGTAGGCCAATCTCGGATTCAGGCCAATTCTGGATTGGCCTAGGCCATTCTAAGATCCGAGTTTGAACTAGTCCATTCTGGAATCTGAGTCTGGCCTGACTTTTTTCTAGGCCAATCTCGGATTCTAGAATGGCCTAGTCTATACTAAGATATCTTTTTTCCAGGCCAATCTGAGATTGGCCTAGGCCAAACTGGGATAAAGTTGTCCAATGATGTATTTGACCTCTACTATCGAAGTGATTTTCCTTATAAGTTAATAATTATTGGAGGAGGTAAAGGAGAACTAGTAGATTATGAATAAGATGTCGTCTGATATACAAATAAAACCGATAAAGTGTAATCTATGGAAAACACCGTCAAGTTACAACAAGAGCAGTTAAATTCAATTATTATGGATGGCGATGATCTTATTGAAACATCAGTGGAAGAAGTTGTTATCAGTGAGAGTGCTGAATGTCAACGGAACAAATTTAACGTGAATGTCGAAAAATACAAGAATTCATTACCATTATGCATGAGAGAAAAATCAATGATAACGTTTCCATTTTACAATAACATCATCGATGCCTTGAAACAGACAAAAGCTGGCAAAAAGGCCGGCATCGATTCGAAATTTTATTTATGGTGCAAATTGCATTTTAAAATCGATTACAGTGTCGGTGCTGAAATATTGTGTTCATCGAAAAATGGTAATCGAATTGCTGTAGTTGAACATTATTATCAAGTATGTTCTCTCGTCTTCGTGCGACAATCATTCGAAACTCTTTGTTTCAGATATTACAAGAAGCTCACCTCAAAACAGATCATGGCGGTCGAGACAACATGCGTCATGAAATTGCGCAGCACTATTATTGGATTCCATGAAAAATTATAGATACATTTCTTTCTACGTGTGTGTCATGTCAAGTTCGAAGACCACTGAAGTCACATGTTATTCTAACAGCAATTATATCTCTTGGTTTTATGACACGGCTGCAAATGGACCTCATTGACATGCGGACACGACCCGATGGAGATTTCAAATGGATATTACACTGTCGGCACCATGTTACAAAGTATTCTTGGGCGTATGTCTTGCCAAGCAAGGAAGCTCGATATGTTGCGGAAAATTTGCTGCAACTGTTCTGTCAATTCGGTTCTTGCAAAACCTTACAATCCGACAACGGAAAAGAGTTTACTGCTCAAGTAATTAAAGACCTGAAGATAATGTGGCCAGAACTACTTATTTTAAATGGTCGTCCACGACACCCACAATCACAAGGTTTAGTCGAACGCGGTAATTCAACCTTATGTGATATACTCGGAAAATTCATGCAAGATCGTGATACAACTCATTGGGTGCCATGCCTTTTGCCAGCCATCTATTCGATGAACACAAGTTTAGCACAAGGTATCAAATACACACTATTCGAAGTCGTATTTGGGCAAAGACCACGTTTGAATATGACGTTATGGCAATCAATCTCGGATCAAGGAATAGAAGATGAGGACGATTTGCCCCCATCCATTCGAAAACAACTAGAAGATGCTCCTGATGCAGATGTCCCAGAAAATGAAGGTACGATTGGAATCGATGGGTAAGAAATAATATGCTATTCTTTTCTAGATTCTATTTTTGCCTCACTCTTAAATAGTATATCTACTGATCAACAAAGTGCTTCGACTCATTCTGCCACAACGAACAACTTAACTCATGAGAATAATGTCAAGAAAAAATCATTGGATGAAACCAGTCCATCCAATCTAGGTCTTGCTGAATTTCCTCACGCTGCTATTCAATCAAAAGCAGCCGATGTCTATGTTGCACGAGCAACCAGACAACAGCTTGCACACAAAGTCCATATGAAGTTATTACAGGAGAAGTGCAACGTTGGTGACTTTGTAGGATTACAAATTCATAAAGTTGATCGAACTAACACCGATCCAAAATTATTACCTTGTATGATCATTGAAAAAGAAGCTGAACAAGTGAAACTTGCATGCATTCATGGTATTATTGATCAATGGTGGACGATTAATGTTTTGGTGGGTTTATCTGCTGTACCTCATGAACTTGTTCATTTACAAGTGGATGATTTACAGAAGATATCGATGATTACTGCATCTAAATTATATGTTCGAGGAGCTGTCAATGGTGTATGTTGCTCATGCAAAGGAGGATGCAAGACCAAGCAGTGTGCTTGTAAAAAAAACAAGTTTTCTGCTCGACAAAGTGGCACAAAAATATTACTTGTTGTAAAAACATAGAAAAATAAAAGAAATTGTTGTCTAGTTGGTTAATACTCAAGTAGGTTTTTACTATGATAAGTCTTGCATTTAATTTAGATCAACTATGGTTTCAGTTGATAATCACTGTATTCTAGTTTGGCCTGGAAAAAAGATATCTTAGTATAGACTAGGCGAAACTTAGATTGGCATGAAAAAACAGGCCAATATCGGATTGGCCTGACGATTCGAAGGTAGCTCCAAGTTTGGACTAGGCCAATCCAGGATTGACCTAAATCCGAGATTGGCCTACGACATATACATGAATTATATATTGGTAAACAAAATAATAATATAGCGATACAAGGTAAATCGTGTCAATAAGTATATGATATATATATTTAATTTTCTCTTGTTAAATAATAAAGATGATCAAGATCATTAAATAATAAAAGTAATAATTGTATAAATGATCTATTATCTAGTTCAATTAAATAAGAATATGATTATAATAATTGATTTATTTATTTGATAGAGTTAAACCATGTCGTTGATAAAGATATTCAAATATTGATAATAGTATTTTCGACAATGTACAACATGATATTATTTGATCTGTTTCGCAACTAAGAAATGATTTTTTTTTGAAATATATTTATATAAATTATTTCTGATATAATTATTATAAAACGTAATAAATCACGTATATCACCTTTTGAAAACTGACATGTTAATTCAACATGATTTCGAATTGTATCAAAATAAATTGATATAGAATCTATTAATGCAATTGAATATGGTTGATTATTAGAGCACGATAAAAGACTTTTTACATAAATTGTATTAGGTGTTGTTTCAACATCATTTAAATTAGTTTCATTGGATATTAATCGTTGTGTTGATAAAATACCACGGATAAGACAATGAGGCATTTGATAACTATACAAAATCCTAGGAAAGCAAAAAAAAGAGCAGATTTATATTGTTTCTTATTTGCTCAAACAATTTTTATTTACTGTAAGATTCATCCTAAAAATTTTATGCTATGAAAAAACCAATACGTTTTTGGAGTCCAGGAATTCAAGCCTATAGAAAGTTTGTCGGAATTCTCGAATGCAATTTTATCGTCTGTTAAAGACTTCGTGATGTTTTTATAAAACTCAGCTGCATTTTTTGAAATAGACCTCTTTCGATCGAAAAACTCCAAATGAATATAAGATGAACATCACTGTTGCATCCTTAGTCATCGGTTCATGATATTTATTTCAAAGAACGTGTCAATCTTGAAATGTCTGATTTCAAAAACTTAGTTGGGCTTGTAAATAAATGACACAATAGAAAATATCTTACGAGATATCTTTACAACTATGTATGATTATTTTTGTTCATTAGTCATTTCATAATATTAGAAAGACGTCGTTTTCTATAGTTATAACAATACAAATAGCACAACTCAGAATTTGACGGATGAGATCCAAGACGAANATTATCTAATAAACAAAGTATGATGATTTAGAACGACGAATAATCTATGAATCTAATCAAGCCTGACAATTTTGTGATGTCAAATAAGTTAGTTGAACGACACGTATATCACAACGTGCATGCAAAGATGCGTTAAAATAAGGCCATGGAGCCTATTTGTTGCATCAAGACGAGAAATCATAAAACTTTTTGTCATCAACGTTGGTGCATAGCCTCTATTGAAAACATGTATCTTTGTCATAAGTCTTCCGGTCAACTATCATTTCAATATTATTCGATTTAGATTCACATACAGAAGTCTTTTCAATGCGGTCACTGCTATCTACGGCAAAGAAAATGTTCAACAAGCTAAACGACTCATAAATTTGATGCAGACTAGTTTAGTAAGTATTCTTCCATAGATTTTTCTCGTTGGAATATTGCACACGAATGCTTTGGATCACGATGAATCTTGGGATATCCTAGCAGGTTCCGGTGCATCATGTTAGATGTTGGTAGACACCAATCTATCGTAATGGATCCAAGAGATTCCTATAATCGATCAGAATCCGCTTTTTACCCCTTGTTTCTATCACAGTTTGTTAAAACTATTTCACAATTCATTAGAAACCATTAAGATCGACCAGGATTCATCAGTATGCAAGATTTCATCAAGTTTCATTAGAATTTACCCGATTTCGTCGAAATCCAATGTTCGCCCCTTGCCCACATCCACACTCTAAAGACAAGACTATGATTAAACTGAACAAATAGTAACAATTGCTCCTTGTTGCTAACTTTGAAGTCAATAAGCAAAAGCAAGATGATTTATCACAGCAGAGGTGAATAGGGTTCCTTTTGGTTGCCATCACTTCATCGGCATTCATTCTGAAGTTTTGAATACTCTGTCATACTATATATTCATACTCATTCTGAGTCAATAATATATTTATTTCGCTAACACTATTTCTTACTTAGCTAATTCTTTTTGATTTCTCCCAATTATCTATCTGTTTATTTCTTATTTGTGGATAGCCCTCTTTCATCGTTGATGTCGATATCGATAGACTCACTGATTATAAATAGATTTTGTTTTTCTGATCTGAAAATATGCAGCTCGACTAGTCAAATATCGAGACGCTCGTATACGAAATCTCCATTATTGTCTTTCTCTCATTATTTTTTTCTGTAAAATTTGATTCGTTCTTCTTTGAGAAAAGCTAATCGCACCAATGTGTCATTCATGTTCTTGACTGTCTACTACTCCTTCGCTTTCACAATTCTTATTCTGCCGTTGCTTCATCTTCTCTTCTCTTCTCTATATTCACTGCAGTTTTATCTAGTGTCACTCATTATTGACTTGACGATAAGTAGGCCGTTGAAAAATATGCTGTCGTCTTCATGAGCAACGCAAGTTATTACTTATATATTCTTATCGCATTGTGTCTGTATTCTTCATTTTTGCGTGTATGGATGCTAGTTTACTTTCTACTAAAATGTCATCGGAAGCTAGCAGCGCACCAGAAACAAGAAAATTGCGGGAACTCTATCCAGAAATAGAGCCATATACAACTGGCATGCTGGAAGTGTCTGCAATTCATACTTTATATTATGAAGAAGTTGGAAATTCTTCGGGTAAGCCAATTATATTTATCCATGGCGGACCAGGCGGTGGTACGGATTTACGTGATCGACAATTTTTTGATCCACAAGCATATAGAATTATATTATATCATCAACGTGGTGCTGGTAATTCAATACCAAATGCTTGTTTAGAAGAAAACACAACATGGGACTTAGTCGATGATTTAGAGAAATTACGTAAGCATCTTAATATTGATAAATGGATATTATTCGGTGGTAGTTGGGGATCAACATTAGCTTTATCTTATGCAGAAACACATCCCGATCGTGTTAAAGCATTAGTATTACGTGGTATATTCTGTTGTCGCCGTAAAGAATTGCTATGGTTTTATCAAGAAGGTGCTTCAATGATATTTCCTGATGCATGGGAGAAGTTTTTAGAAGCAATACCCAAAGCTGAACATGGTGACTTAATGTCAGCATATCATCGTCGTTTAACTGGTAAAGACGAACAGGAATTATTAAAAGCTGCTACTGCATGGTCTGTATGGGAATTAGCAACGTCACGTTTATATGTTGATCCGTCGTACATAGCTCATGCAACAGATGATGCTAAATTCGCTGTTGCTTTTGCTCGCATTGAAACACATTATTTCGTTCATGGAGCATTTATGAAAGAAGATGATCAATTAATAAAAAATGCCGATAAAATAAAAGATATACCCGGTGTAATCGTTCAAGGCCGATATGACGTCGTTTGTCCAGCTTTTACTGCTTGGGATTTACATAAAGTATGGCCAAAAGGAGAATTGCATTGGGTTGACGATGCGGGACATTCGTCTAAAGAAGTTGGAATAGTCCACGAATTAGTTACTGCGACAGACAAATTCAGAGATTTGTAATGCATAACACATTATTTACAGTTGATTTTTTTTGATTGATTCAATTAATAATTTTTTTATGTCATTAGTGCGAATTATTTATTTTGTTCCAATCGTTGACTAGGAAAACCTTGTTGCTCAGTGAAAAAAAACTTATTTTGAGCTTAATATAACAGGTGTATGACTGTAGGTAGGGATCTTCTCGTCACTCACCCCTACATGGATTATCGAGTTTAATTGATCAGTAAATTGGTTGTAAAGAAATGTCTGTTGATGATCAATCGATTAGAAACGATATTTGGTGTAGATATTAGCAGTATTTTTCCTTTGCGATCAATTGAAATGGGTTCGAGTTTCAATTTCATGAGTCGATCTGATTCGATCTATTCATTCAAGTTGATGCTGAAACATTGTTCGCAAACATCGATGAAGAAGTACATTGAAAACGCAGATATTCATTCACAACTTGTGCAAATTGAAAAAAACATGCTTTGTTTCATCGGTGATTTACACTTGGTTAAAGTTTGTTGAAGAAATTCGTTGATAGAATATCGGTTTCAAACTAAGATCCAAGTTGATCGGACGAACTATAAACCTTTAGTGGAAACAATATAAAAACATTTACTATTAAGTTTGAATTCTATCCAAATGTGGGTAACCCAGAGCTGGTCATGCTAGTATCAAAGTTCAGTAAGACAACCGTAATTCAGCTTCAAAAGTGCAAGTAGACGAATCACTGCAAGCTATTTCTAATGTATTCGAGATTTCTTTCTGGGCCAACATTAGCTGAAACAGTGGATTATACGATGAGGTAGTTTTCTCGTTGAAAGGTATAGGCTGATGCAGCTTCTTCAACAAATATGTATATATTCTTTCTTTCATAAAGAGAAAAATCATATAAATAATGCTCGTATGATTCATATGAGAACCACTCTAAATTATTTCTTTTGTGTTAGGGTGGCTCTTTCACGAGTTATACGAGTTTTATAAGTATCATGTCTTTTCATGTCAAAGTAAAAATGTTGATATACGTCGAAAAAAGCCACATCAGCCGTAAATTTCTTAGATACTTTCTTAGAATAAAGCCACTTGTATGTACGCAAAATATCAGCAAAATCAGTGTGGATCAGTTGACGGTCTTTTCTCGTTAGTGCCATTCATTGGTACAAACCAATTTCCAAACTTGAATTTCAACCTATTTTGTATAGTAGATTTTATGCGTGCAAATGAGATCTGATTATTTCCTATGTAACTTATTATCCGGTCGATACAACGCTTTTCATTTGATAAAGTGCATTATCTAAGAAAAACAGCTGAAACACATCGGTTGAAATAGTTCATGAAAACTAAAAGCATCATATCGACTGAATAAGAGGTTACATAGAATATAGTGAAGTGTCATTCGAAAGCACAAAGTCTGTTATATAAAATAGACTGAAACTCAAGTTTGGACATCGACTTCTAAAGATGAATCTTAACTTGAATAATATTACAATCAAGTCGTACAATTTATGAAACTGTTTCCAAGTCAGATAGAACGAATTATTTCAACAATAGTAATATACCGTTTTGATCAGTTTTCGATGATTTTTTCGAATGATGCACTTGAAAGTTGAAAAATGAAAATTTTCTATATTGATAGATTAATATCAATTAAATGTAATTAAATGTTATTTAATTACAACGAATAATGTTCAGAAACCTGCTTTTTTTTTAATAAAATATAGCCCATTGAATCCTGTATCGAATTTTATAGATAAAGAGTTTTACATAATTGTTGAAAATCGAAAAGTTAATAAAATACTAAAAGTACTCGAAACTTGTTCGCTAAAAACATAGTTCCTGTCATACAGAATATTGACTATATAGCATAGTAGCTAGTTTCGAGAGCTATTGAAATTGCTCTTTAGTTTTTCTCAGAAAGATATCTTTCGTAAATATAATCCACGAAATAAAAGGTACTCTAAACTTCTCTCTGCCATTTTATGTCTCTACCAATGAAC